TATTTCATCTCATCTCATATGATTCTATCTTTTTGGGGAGGGAGGGATGGGGAGGTATAGATAGCAAGATGGTAAATATATATGGATATATATGGATATATGAAGGATATATAGAGAATATATAGAGAATATATATGGATATATGGAGAATATATGAAGGATACAATGTTTTCTTTGAAAGGAAAAAGGAGCGAAGGCTGTGAAATTCATTCGGAGGGGTGGATGATTGGATGGGTGAATGGTTGAGAATATATATATATATATATATAATTGAAATGAAACGAGTATGATTTATTATGATTTATTGAAATAACAAAATAAAAGATTAAAAAAATTGAGTAGTGTAAAATTTGAATTGAAATTGTATGTCTTTTTGTGATCTGGAATGAGATATTCCGGAATTGGTGATGAGATTTCGAGGGGTGGGAAAGGTTTGTAAAGTGGGGGAGGGGGGGTTGTAAAGGCTTGGATTTTCTTTAGGGAAAGGAGGAGAGGGAGGAATGGTAGAGGAGAGGGGGGAGAAGGGATAATTGGGGATGAATCTGTGTGAGAATATTTCACGGAGTTAGGTAAGAAAGATCGTTCGTCAGTTTTTGGACTTTGTTACTTGTGAAAGATCTGGATGCTGTGGATGTTGAAGATGCTGTGGATGCGGTTCTTAACTGGTGATATTCTAGACATTCGGATGACTGTATTTGTATTTGTATTGAATTTTTTATCCTTGAGTATTTAAGTGCTTGAGTATTTTTGTTTCAGAGAAATTGTGAAGATTTCTAGAGCTTGAGATTTGGATTGGGACATGGGGTTGATCTAGGAGATTAGTTAGGGGATTGGTTTAGGGGATTGTGGGATGAGGAAAAGGGTGAATGAGGGGAAGAGTTGGGAGTTTAGCGGAGAGGGTGGGATATGAGTGTAGTATAGTGTAATTGAGTGGAGAGAGAGAGAGAGAGGGCTTTAGATTTTGATTGTGAGGTTGGTTAGGTGAGGGAATAGTGTAGTAGAATTTTGGGAGGTGGATGGGGATTTGGTATAAGACTGGGATGGGTAGATAGGTAGGTATGTAGAGTAGGTAGAGTAGGTCGAGTAGAAATTGGGGTTTTGGGAAGGGAGGAGAGGAGGTGATGGTTGAAAATTCGGTTTAGATGATGGTGTGGATAGTGTAAGGAAGTTTTTTGCGGGGTTTCTGGCCTTTGATTTTTGTGGTTAAAAGAAAGGAATAAAAAGAGAGAGAAAAAGGAGTGGAGACGAGAAAACTTTCATCAGAGGGAAAAGGGAGAAGATTGGAAGTGAATTCTTTTTGAAGCGGGAATTGTGAGGGGGGGTGCATTCGGATGATTGTTCATTTTTTCTATTCTCAAAAGAAACCCTTTCCAGATGCATGAGTTTGTTGAAGCTGAGGGGCAGTGTTTGACTTCGAGATCGATGGATATTTTTTTCCTTCCTTTTTTTGTTTCTCTTCCTGAGTAGGAGATGAACGAGAGGAAGTATTAAGGCTATGTGAATTTCAAACCCTTGCATGAAATCTAATCTTCTCCGAAATATAAAACCTTTCAAAAAAATCAACTCTTGTTGCCTTGTTTCTCAGTCAAAGAAGAAAGAGAAACATATGTTGTGAAGACTTGAAATTCTCCATCGTAAAAAGAGATGAATTTGGATGAGACGGGAAAGAATTGTCAGTATACGTGCGATAAGAAGAGAGAGGAGAAGAAAGAGGGAATTTTGAACACGCTGACCACGTACTAGAAATTTAGAAGAGCTAGAATTCTGAACAAGTCCGATTGGAAATTCAAATCTGGGGCCGGATGGAATAAGTACCTGCTTGACTGAGTTAGACGTGACTGATTATCGTGCTCGAGATGTCTAATCCGGTATGTTGGAGTCAAAATTATTGAGGTATTGAACAAACAGCTTGATCCGCATCGATGTATATGAGTTATCATTTATAAATTGAAGACTAGGTAGTGAATTGTATGGGTTTCCCATCGATAGAATAAGAACTCTTTGAGCATAATAATTGTGACTCGGTTCAACCTCTGCTGCACTACACATCTGTGACGTCATCACCATCACTACGGAATTCCACTTTTAGCTTAACTGGTACTTATTCCACAGAACGCAGTGACTCTTTAGTAGATTACTACATACAAGAATCCGTGTAATTAAATTACGAAGCCTACTGTTGTGGTGCTTAAAGTTTGAAGATTTGAATGAGCTATTCTTTAATCACCAGAAATGTACTTGAAATAGACCTTGAGATTTCGAGACTAGTATCACATTTCAAAAGGCTCATGGAGAGTCGAGCGCAGAATTCCAGACTGTTAAGCGTAAAATTTCTGTATTTCGGATCGTTACCAGACGAGCAGATTTCAGGATACCAGGATTCTTAGAACTCTACACGGAGATTCGGATGCCGAAGCACGTTCTCGAAAGTCCCATGCACTACTCATTTTTCTTGGATGCTTAGACTTGGCGGTTGTCTCTCAACGCTGGAGTCTCGTGAAGAGTGAGTAGAATGGTGATTTGCTTTCGAGTTCGGGGTCCTAATTTTGATTTTTTTTCCGGAGATTTCTGGGGGGTGGTGGTTGTGAGGGAATGGTGTGAACTCCGTAATCTTAAGCAGACAGATCGTGCGGATGGGCATGAAGATCTTGATAGCTGCCAAGCCGTAAAGGTTATGGAATTGGTCTATTTCATAGGAGTGGCGATGTGTCGTTTTCAAAATGAAGGTACTGTGTCTGCTGGAAGTTGTATGTCATGGTGTCTTTTTGACTTCCATATAGATTTGGTAAGGCACTATGATGGAACTGTCGAAAATCCAATTGAAATGTTTGATTTTGTACAAGTAGTTAGTTATATATTTCATGTACTCAATTCTCATGTATTCAATTGCGGTAGCATCAATTGATCACCAAGTCACCATGTCACCAAGCCATCAAAACACTCAAAATTGGTGGAATAGTAAATTCTCTAAAGTATTTTCGCAAAGAAATCCTCCCGCCATGTTCCAGTGTCAAATGTCGTTATTTTAAATACCCGCAAAGTGGTTTAGTTCAAAAACCTCAATATTATTCATCCATCCAGCCCTGAAAACACAAGTATTGAAGGAAATAAGGAAAATGTGACGGTAGAAAAATGAAAGACGATTATTAAAAAGGCCCCTATTGGGCAAGAATATAAGTGGAGATGAGTAGAATGTGCTATATTGCACTGAACTATCATGGTAAACGTCCCAGAAAACCAGAAATTGTCATCGTTATTGTTGGTATGAGAATGGAACACCTGGTGCAAAACATCCGAAGCAGATTGGAATCGATATCTCTGTTGTGTGGGTCAAAGAGAAGAAATAGTGCGCAACACCAGATCATTGTTTGAAACGGAACTGTCAATGCAATGCATACCATCGTAAGAAATTGAAATCGTAACCGTGAAGAGCTGGATTGAAGTGAAGTATTGGTGTTATGGCAGGACGTTAGACCGAAGATGACAGGTATCAGACCAATGTATGAATCTCTCGTGAACATTACCGAAGTAAGATGGGTGTTGATAGATGATAGATCATGGATGGAAGGTGTCGAAGTACCACTCCCCGGTGCATATCAGTAACATGTTATCCAGAGATTGAGAGGTGTGTGGTGGAAAAAAGACCAATCCCAGGCACAAAATGAAGCGTTTCCATCCAGCGACAGCAAGATGAGGATGTAACTTGTGCCAGAGTGCATAGAACAACCATGAATGCCATCTACCGATGAAGAAATCGATGTAAAATGTGTGCTAAAGCCGAGTGAGTGACACAGATGAACCATCTAGAGACGGAGAGATGAATGGTGTATAGAGTTTCATACCAGAACGAAGACTGACGAAGTACCATTAAGCAAAAAGGAGATGGATATGAGCGAGATCCCAGCCAGCAATGAACATCGGTGACGTGTTGTCTGGAGAAGAAGAAATGCATCATGAATAAAGTCCATTCACGATCCAACAAGTGCATAACATCCAGCCCAAAGATGGTGAAAGAGGTATCTGATAGTGTGACGATGAAAGCTGCATTGATTTTGTTTCAGCCAAAGATAGCACGATGGTGATCAATCGAACCCAGTCTCCGTACAATGAAGGTGTCATATCCACCCCAAAGACAACGATATCCATCGTTGAGAACATCAAAACCAAAGCACCATCAGTGACATCCGACCCAATATATGCTGAATGATGATGCATTATAGCCAAATCCCAATGTAATGAACCACAAACTTCCAGCAAAGGAAATCGAGATAGCAGTTGATGCAGTGTGAACACCAAAACAACATCGAAGAGATCCAAACCAAAGGATTCCAGATGGTGATGCATGATGTATGAATAGCACCAAGGAACTTGAGGAATGCCGGCCGGAGATATCAAGATAGTAGACCGTGATCTACCCAAATTAAGTTGTTGCATGAGGAGTGTCGACCAATGCATACACGATGAGGTATGGCTGATGTAGAAGGTGTGTTGGATGTTTGACGGAAAAGGCAGGATGAATGAAGGGGTTGACCATGAATGAAACGCTATGTCAATGGAGTAGAACATCCATGCATTAGAAAGCCCAAAAGAGTAGAATTTTCCGAACTAATCGTGAGAAAGCGGTATGCAAGAAGCAATACCATCAGATAGAAGCCATAAAATGACATCTAGGAGTAAAAACCATGCAGTAAAGTCGAGCGATGAGTATGCAATCAGCAAAATCATATCATCGACACCGAGAAGTGAAAGCCAGTAGATAAAACCAGTAGTAAAAGCCAGAGTAGTGGTGCATCATCCGTGAAGTAAAGTATTAGAAAGGCATGCTTAATGTCGTAAAATCAGCCAAAAATCCGAAACACAGGTGAAGACTATCCATGAACAAGCTTCAAAGAATCCTTCCCATGATGATAGGAAAGATGCTCCGAGTAAAATTTCGGATACCACACCCTGAAAAATCAAGATTTAAGGCCTAAAAGCGACCCAATACCTTCTAAAATAGCCTAATAACCACGACGAACGAAGACAGTGACCTTCCAGTGCATCCCGTGAACAGGACACTCGAGAATCTTGTATGAGCGGCGCTTGTGCCATAAACCCTCAGGATTCTCTTGGTGCTGAATGAAGCCCCAACGCTCTCCGTTAATGATCTGCATACCCTCTCGAATGAGCTGAGCGCCAATAGCTGGTGCAGAAGTCAGAGCGTTTTGGCCCCTAGCCCAGAGAGGAACCTCGAGTTGAACTGGCCAATAGTACCATATTAACTCCATATTGTCTCTGGGTTTAGGACCATTGGTAGAGGGAGAGACAGCAGTGTTATGGTAAGGATTCATGTACGATGGACGCTGGTGGGGAGCACAACCTTGAGGGTTTGTCATTCCATACTGGAAAGGCTGTTGCGGAGGATCTACACGGAAGCGTTCAAGGCGAAACTTGATATTCAGCTGAAAGTTGGGTCGAAGAAAGCGTGGAAGAGGGATGGCAGTGTTTGGATCAATGCTATAAGACGAGCCAGCGTGCATAATGGGTCCAATGATAGCTTGAGAGGTGTTGCTAGGTGGACCATTTGAGCCAGGATGTTGTTGTGCAGCATTGTTTTGACCATAACCACCACCAGCTTGGTAACTTCCTTGTTGATTGAAGCCAGGTTGATGATTGCTACCAGTACCAGCAGTGTAATGAGTACTAGCACCCGCAGCAGGTCCGGTTGGGGCTTGTTGCATGAGAACATGCTGTTGCTGACCACCTTCTTGCTGAACCACTTGCTGTGCAATTTGCTGGACATTGGTACCTTGATCATGACTAGCATGTCCTCCAGAGGGAATTGCTTGAGATAGTGGTATATCAGTAGCAAAGCTGTTGGGGTGCTGGTTGTGGTTAGGCACCTGGTTATACGATGCTACCGTAGGATGCAGGATGTGAGCCACAAAAAAGGCTAAACGCGTGGTATATGCATGAACGCCCGGTACGGGTGGGGCAGCAACGCGCTGGCAGTTACCGCAGCAGAAAATAGCAGAAGACACCTGCATATTGTACTGAGGAGGAGGTAGGAGTGGTTGTTGAGGAGGTTGCAGAGGTTGTTGTGGTGGCCAGTTGTTGTTTGGATTGTACCCATGCTGGGCAGGGTTCCATGCACCACCAGTCCAGCCCTGGTTATCTCCATAGCCTTGGTTCTGATATGGATCCATCACAAATCGATAGGAGGGGTTTCGAGAAGAGTTTTGAGGTAGGTAGGAGGATGTAAGATGGAGAATCGAAGGTCTGGACAGCACAATAGTTAGTAAATACTCAATGATATGGCCTTATTTGACCAAGATGAACTTACTGCAGGAGAATAAAGGTAGTTCAACGATGTTGGACCTGAAATTCAACGTCTATAGAGTAGAATAGTTAGTAAAAAGACAAAGGAAGTCCTTGTAATTGGCTCAAAGGTACTCACTGTGAAATACTCAAGGTCTATGAGCAATTAGACGTCGATTTCGAGATCGAGAACACCGTAGACAGAACGAATGAGGTAGAAGAAGAAGTTCTAGTAACGAGGATAGTTGAAAGAATGGAACTCCTTGAAGAAACACAAGGGTAATCACAGATACGTTCTAGTTGAAGTATCTTGCAGTATGAGGGGTCTTGAAAGGGAAAGGAAGGGTCTGGTTAAAGGAGGAGGAATAGTATGTAGGGAAGAAGAAACAGGAAGAGGTTTACAGATCAATGGGGATGCTTAAATAGAAGTCTTGATTGGAAATCTCTGCAAGCTAAACCATTAACCCCGCCTCAAATTTACTATACGGAACCTTCCTTGCCGTTGTATTCAATTGTTGAGGTCAAATAAACAGTTGATTCGTGTTTGAACTGGTAAATGACCAATATTACAGCAGCAATGTATACAGGGGTGTATTTTATGCCGCTAAAATCTATTGCCAGGGTCTAATTGAGCTCCAAAATGCCGCTAAACCTTTAAATGACCTATTTTCTTAAGGCTGAGCCGCCCCGAGATCACCTAGTGGCCTGCACTAAAGCTTAATTTGACTTCCAAATGATCAATGAAATCATTCACCTCATGCGATAAAGTAGGTTGTTTGATGATCCTATCTAAAACTACTACCCCGCTGCGATTTTACTCAACAAAATTCTCTCTGCCGCTCTTCAAGATCACTAGAAGCAGCGAGACGTATTTAGATCACTCAATGGACCTTATTGTAGTTGGAATTGCCCGAAATGGACATTAGTACCGCCCAAAAGTATCTTCAAATGGTGAAATAAATCATTCACTCTTAGTCATGAACCGTATTTCATCTAACTTTATCTAGCAACTGCGCTCTTGCTTCAATTCTGTTGAAAGTGACTTTTCCTATCATTCAGATCATGAACTGAGGTCAAACCAAGCTTTAACACGCGTCTAACCCTTTCGATGACCAATAATAAGGCCTAATTCTGGTATGGTGAGATGTTTATTGATGCTTAAGCCGAGTCCCGAGGCTAAAGTCGACGCTAACTCATGTCTAACTCGCGCAAATTTCCGTCACGCGGCTGGAGAACCCTTTGAGTAGCTCATTTACAGATAGAACGCTTGATAGCCTATGATATTGCTTGAACTGCGCCTCCAAGTACTCAATGACTGAAGATGAGGCTCATATTCACGTTTGAATCGCTCAAAAATTCGTGTTTTAACTCGATTAGATCATGAAACCATCTAATTACGGTCATAAATAAGCATTATTTTCATGATTAAGAGTAGTTAGTAGAGCTATAATAATTAATCAAAGCTAATTAAGACCGCAATAAGGCTCTGAGTAACGTAGTAAATATTATTAGTATGTAAATATATACCAAAATCACTTAATAAACCATGATATACTTCAAATCCCTCTCTAGAATAATCAATTCAATCTGAAATAACTTTAACCGAATCTTAAAATAGTAATATTATTAATTATTTTACAATATTCTATGTATTTTTCTCGCTTCAAGCCAAATTATACTAAAGTTTCTAGAAACTACTAGTACTACAGAGCTTTTATTCAGCTACATATAACTAGTTGAGGATGTTATTAGCCCAAAATATGGTTTCAAATAACATCTTACTTTTTTAAGATTTTTAGATACTTCTCACATGGAATAGAATGACAAATGAATAGTTCCAAAATTTGCTTATTTCTACTTACTAGAACTCCTTCATCTTACTCCATCTTTCGTGTAATATTACCCCAGGTACTCAATTCACTACATACATCTATATCATCTAGAGCTTAAATTCATCAATAAATTAATCATATAGATATAAAAAATATAAATATAATAAGAAAAATAAAAACATTAATTTTTCGTATAAAGACTCGAACTCTAGAACTTATACTTAAGATATTTTTGATAATCTATCTATATATATATATAAATAGCAAGATTTCAAGATAGTACATAGAATAACTTTGAGCTTAGTCGTCTTGATTATGTGTCTTTATATAGTATTTATTCTTCTAAACTTTCATATAAAAAGTCTTATGAATAATTCTCTTATTATTTCCTATATTATATAACTATTTCAATTAGTATTGAGTTTTTGAAATCAGCAATTCTAGAGTTATATTCAAGTGAAGTAGAAGATAGAAACTCTTTTATTTGGTTTTTCTAAATTCCTTTCCTAGAATTGTTGGTTCGAGAAAGATACGGAAGTCGTGGTTCTGTGACGATTGGGTTCAAGGCATGATCGATAATTGATAATGAATAATGAATTGAAGTTAACAATCTATACGAAAGAATATCAAGTTATCGAATACAAGAATTGAAGGTATAATGTCCTTTTATACCTTCTGCTGGCAGGACCTTAAGGTCCTGCCGGCAGAACCTTTTTCCCTGCCCTGGCAGGCATAATCCTTTCAATCCGTCACAGGTTCCCACTATTAGTAGGCCCCTAAATGTCTATTTGTATTCAATCTAAAGAGCTAGCTAAGTAGGAAAATAGCAGGCCTTATATAGATACTACTGAAAGAGCTAGTCTCTTTCGCATTCGCTTAATACCTTTGATACAGTAGTCATTTTATTGAAGTCATTTCTTTGAAGTAAATACCCTTGTTCACACAAGAATATAATTCTCGCTTTGTATTGAAATTCAAGTAATGTTTCTCTAAATCATCTGAATTCATATTCAAGAGATTCAATAATCTCATAAAATAATATATAATTTATAAAGAAAGTTGTTTTATTCTCGAAATACTAAGTCTTGAAATTTATTTTTTAATTAATATACTCCTCTCAAATAAAGAATAAAGTATCAATATCTAGATATAGTACTCTCTATAAATCTAAATGTTAATTCGAGAGAGATACGGAAAACGTGGTTCCCACTATCAGTAGGCCTCTAAATATCTATTTGTATTCAATCTAAAGAGCTAGCTAATGAGGGGAAATAGTAGGCCTTATATAGGCACTACTGAAAGAGCTAGTCTCCTTTGCATTCGCCTAAATACCTTTGATATAGTAGCTATTGTATTGAAGTTATTCTTTTGAAGTGAATTCCTTTGTTTATATACTCGGAACTCTCTTTTATGGCTTCAAATACAATGGTTGAAAAGAAATTCGTAAAATTATAAAAATCCTTTATCTGCTGGCTAAAGTCTCTGACCTTTTATTAGCAGAACCAATCCCTTTCTTTAATCCCGTTCCACTCATTTCATTGCCTTGATATCGATCTTATTCGTATTGATCAGATCAGCAAGAGCTTGACATGACTTTCCTTTCGTTATTGTATCGGCCGGATTAGTCGGACTATCAATCCAGATCACTTTAATAATCTCCCTTTGCTCGTAGGATTGATGTAGTATCATAATATCGATCATTAATCTCTTTCTTTCTGGATTTCTTATATATAATAGGATTCTTGGGATCAGCAGTAAAATATTTGGGGTAGTAATCTTGTATATAAGCTTGAATCTGAGGTATAACTACTCGCGGGAAAGATGTTGGTATAGGCATCTGATTGTTTTTGGATAAATTCAAGAAAGGTTCTTCTGGATTCATCATATATATAATCGCTATTCCTAAAGAAGGTAATATAACTTTGCCGGAATTTGGCAAAGTTATCTTAGAATCATATTATAATCCCTATCCCTATTATCTCTATCATTGCCTTTATTGTTATTACTATTGCTTCTACTATTATTACCATCTTAATCGCTATCCCAATTATTATCATTATCCGGATTATCATTATCATCAGGTGATCCTGCAGGAGCATTTCGTATATCCCCAGAGCTATAAAATGAAGGGGGTCTATATGCTTCGAGAGGAGTAGGTGAAACAGCTTTGTTGGTATTTGGTAAAGTTAGGTGATTAGCTGGGTTACTGTTTAGAGATTCGGTAAGAAGATCGGTAGGGGGTTCGATTTGTGATTTCGGATTGAGTTTGACAGGAAGGTGGGCTTATTTTGTAGATATGAATGGTTGTACTTTATTAATCTAGTATTCCAGAAGTTGTTCTATAATCCAATTGTGATACTCTTTGTGGAGAAATGCTTTTATCAAAGTATTATCGAGATTTGTATTTATATTGATATAAACTCTATAATGTTGTAAGACTTTGCAAAAGTTATATAATATTAACTTATCAATGCTTTTGAGTAGGGCTTGTCGAATAAGCTCGAAATCGAATGTAACTGTATTTTGAAGAGATGTGTGAGTGATTCTTGTATTCGAGTATACAGCTATTCGAAAAAGAAAGTATTTGTTGATCTGGTGTTTTGTTTTTATTTTGAATGTATATCCTTTATAGAATTGTTTAGCTTTATTGAGATTTTTTGGAAAGGAATAGTTTTGAGATTCTTTTTTGAACTTCAAATCTTTAGCAGTTTCCTGAATTTTTCTTTCTTCAGTTATTGCTTTGTTAGGAATATAGGGATTGAAAGAAATAGGAGAATAAAAAGGAGCATTGGTTATATCTTCGTAGAGAGAAGTCTTAAACTTTTGTTGTAGAGGATCGGTGTTGTTAGTTATTGTATCAATAAATCCTTCTATGCTAATGGATTGATCGAATAGAATAGGTTTCTTGCTAGTATTGGGTTTCTTGCCAACTTGCTTAGAGCTAGTGCTAGTGCTTGCCTGGGATGTTATGGTGTTGACAATGGGAAATAAAAGAAGTAAAGGTAAAAAAAAAAAGATTCCGAATAAGTAATTAAGTAATTTGTGATATCATTAAT